GCTCGCTCTTAACGAGGAGCTTGGACTAAGTACAGCGGTCTGGAGTTCGGGCTCGGTAGTGAGTTTGGACTTGCTTYYGATGTTCGYTTTGGKTGCTCYACTGTCCCGAGCTGCTTGCCTTTGCCACGTGTCGGGCGATCGCGAGGTCGGGCCAAATTTCCCTTCATCATGACCAGTTTCAATTTTCCCCAAAATCATTGATTTTGGTCAGCAAACCACTAACCCGGGCAGTTAACCGTACGAATGGTTTTGACCGTTTTTGTTTTTTTTTTAATTTTATTTTTTATTTTTTGTCAGAACAGGCCGACTGTTCGGGTCGAACGGTTGGTTCCGACCCAATAATTGGACCCCTGACCGGTTCGGTCTTTGGGTCATTTTTAAAAACCATGATACTATGTATACAGAACTTCTGGAGACCATAACTTTGCACTCCAATTTTCAATTGTGGTATTTTTTTATTTTGGGTTACTTTTCAAGATTTATGCGTTCCCTTGCTATTTTTACAAAAAAAAACTTTTTTGGTCTCAAATTTCAATTTTTAATATTTTTATAAATAAAAAATTTAAAAACATAAATTAAATATCAAATAATACATATATAATATCTAAAACATAATTATACATTATTTATAGATAAAATATATATTTATACATACATATATATATACACACGCTGATATGATACGGTCGTTCGGCCCAACTGATCGAACCGTTCAGCCTCTATTGGATATAAATGTAAAGGAAAGTTTTTGAAGAGATGAAAGACTGAAAGTTCAAAAGCAATTATCAAAAAATACAAGGGAGGTTTAAGTAATTTACCCAAGAATATATATATATTTATATTCACACTGTCGGTGCCCAATATTCGTTATGTTTTAGAAGTGTATAAATGCTTAAACATAAAAGAATAGGATTCCGTTTTATTTGAGAAGGATAGAAAGAACAATATTCTATTCATTTGGGAAAAGCAAAAAAGGAAAGGATAGAAAGAATCATGTGATTAACTTGAGCATCAAAATTAGGTAAAGCAACCAAATGTTTTCACATTATGGTTTGAAAAATTCAAAGCCCATTTACACATTTCTACATTAAGGCCTCGGTGTTCAAACCTGTTACAGTTTCCAAGTAGCTAGTACCTAATTCAAATCATATATAAATATTGATTGTTTTCCGTGTTGAAATTCAATTGAAATAATTGTTGAATTCGGTTTATTTCTTAAAAAAAAAAAGAAAAATCTTGATCAGTTTTGAATTTTTTCTCATACGCACATCTACTTGGTCAAGAATTACTTCCACTGATTTCTCCCTCATTTGTTTATTAAATAATTCATAGCCATTACAAGTCATTAACAAAAATTAGGTAAAAAAGGAAATAAATTTTTTTAAGGATTTTCTTTTTTTATAAGTGATAAGACATGGAGTGAGCAAATTGGTAGGTTTTACCTGAAACTGAATAGAATCAAATGGAACCAATCTCAAATTAGTCTTAAACCATCTTAACTAAATCTGTTCTCAGGAAGGTAGGGTATGGTTCCAAATTCTTGTAACGTTAACTGACCCCTGCCGATTACAGGGTCTAGAGATTTACCCTACCCGAACTAAGCTAGATAACTAGCCCTGATTGACCTTTGTGGAACTGGCCACCTTAGAATTAGAGGTGCAAGACAGGCGGATTGGGACAGGTTTATGGTCAACCCAGGTCCAACCCTAAGATTTGGGCCTAAAGGCTGAGCCTAGACCGAGCTTGCAGTCAAACCCGATCTTTACAACCCAAGCCCAGTCCGCATTATGATTTAATGAATTCGGGTTGGGTTCGAGTTGATCAATGAACCCATTCTAAAATTATATATGTATATATGCATTTATGCAAATATGTATACATATATCTATATATGTATATATGAATGTATATAGTCGAATCAGGCTCAAGTTGGGACAAGATCAAAGCGGGTTCAAGCTACTAAGGACTAGGCCTGTGCCCAGCCCAAAAATATACTATAAACAGAAAATACAAGTTTATCTGAACCCTAATTCCCACTTAATTTAAAAGAATTTTTAATGCTAAAAAAATAATATTTTACATATATTTATATATAATCACATCAGATTAGATCACACAATATCCAATTCCCATGTGATTAATAAGCGGATCATATTTTAGATCCGATCCCATCAACTAAGAGGTCGTTTGGTAATAACAGAAATTGTTGAAAGGAATGACTTATTGCTTTGTCTTATAATGGATAAAAATATTAAATAAAAATATATATATTCAACGGTGTAGTATACTCTTCCCAAGCTGAGCCTAAAAGGCAAAGCAATAAACTTTTTCAGTTCATCCATTTCAGCTGTTGTCACATGGTCCCCAAATGGATATATATCTAAACCCGAATTAAACGAATCTGATTTAAGTCCAATCCATTTGCAGTACTAAATTTACTAAAACAAAAAATTAAATCTCAATTACTGGTAAAAACACAATGATAATTCTTAAAAGATGATTACTTAGAGGCATCAAAGTAATATCTTGCTTATAGATTCATATTTGCCTTTCACTCCAATGCGTATATATCATGAGACCACATCCTGACATCACATTCTTGTCATGTATTTGGAACATCTCCCGATGATGTACCAGAACCAATGATGTCATCATCGGGAGATGCTCTCAATATACAGCGGAATGTGCTGTGGAGCGTTGTGGGGCGGAGATGTGAACTCTTATATCATGCATGTCCATTCAAACCAATTCTCCATATACAATCTAAGAGCAGTTAGCATCCAAATAATGCAATGGAATCAAGTATTACTCCACTCACCCTTCAGTGAGCATCCACTACCCCTTATAAATTTGGATTGTGTTTATGAATTTTTGAAACAAATAGAACCAGCAGAACCCTTTGGTTTCTGAAGTTAAACTTTCCATCCTTACTCAAAATCGTTCCATAGTTCCTCAACTAACAATCTCTGCAGGTTTGTTTCTCTTTTGCTTAACCCTAGATGGTTAACTTCAATGAATTTCCCTTGGTGGTGTTAAAGTTTTTGTTTTTGTTTTTATTTTATTTATTTATTTATTTTAATGGGCTACACAATGGGATTGTTCATTCCCCAACCCATAACCCCTCAACCCAGGTGCAAGTGGGATTCGATCCCAAGTCTCCGCTACGACTAGCAGGAGACCTGCTGATTGGCACCTTGCTGAACGTGCCATTGAATCCTATGTGGAGGTCTTATGGGTCACAGACTTTTGAGGTCTGATTGCATCTTTTGTATTGCTTGTTGGGCAGTTTATAAATCTGTTGTTTAATCTGTCACGAAAAGAATACGTAGTCCTCTTTCAATTGAGAATCTGAGATAGGATTTGTACTTATATAGCATGATTTTGAAAACTGGACTGGATTGGATGATTGGACCAGTTGACTCAGGAACCGATCATCATTCCAGGTCTGGTTTTGAAATCCAAAACTGTTCAAACCGACTTCAGACTGGATGATCGGACCATTTAACCATCCCCTATTACGATCAAAATTTTAGGCTGGGCCGGTGACCTACGTAGAATTCTTTGAAAATTAAAGCAATTTTAGACCTCCATTATTGCTGCATTAGATTAATACATAAATTTTTCTACTGTTTTGTGCATGCAGATGGCTTCATCCAACGATGTTACCATGGTTTTACTTGGGCGCACTGGTAATGGCAAAAGTTCAACTGCCAATAGCATTCTTAAAACGAATGCCTTCAAAGCAAAACGCAGTTCTAATTCAGTTACAAGGACAACTGAGCTGCAATCATCTATTCTACAAGATGGCCGAACTGTGAATGTCATTGACACTCCTGGTGGGCTTCTTTTTGCTGACTACCCCTTTTTCTACTTTGCTTAATTTACTTTAGTTGCTAATAGGATTGTAATAATTAGTGGTTTGTTTCATCTAATTTACTTATTCCATAAAAATACATATATACATACATTCATATAAGGTTCAAAGTATCGATACAGGCCGATACGTACCATGCCGATGGCTTACCAATACACCCCTCCAGAGGTTATATCGGGTCAGTCACCGGTTCAAAGAGTAGCTGGGCCTTAAACCAACCCTTCTAAACCGGTTTTAAAAAAATAAATAAACAAAACTTAAAATATATATATATATATATATATATTCTTGACCCTATTCTCTCTTTTAATTATTTTGGGCTTCTCTTGAACATAAACCCTAACACTGACAAGTGGTTGCAGGGCTATTTGACTTTGCACTTGATGTTGAATATATTAAAAAGGAGATCGTTAAGTGTATTGATCTAGCAAAGAATGGGATCCATGCAATGCTTATGGTATTTTCCACTTCCACCCGTTTCTCAAAAGAGGAAGAAGCTGGAATGGAAATCATAAAAGGAATTTTTGGGCAAGCAATTACAGACCACATAATTATTGTTTTTACTGGTGGTGATTCATTTGATGAAGATGATGATGAGGCATTACAAGATTACTTGGCTGAATGCCCTAAGCCTTTCCAGGTAATGCTTAACCTGTATTATCAATCTTTCCTAGTCTTCATATTTGGTTTATCCCTAGGATTTGCTTCTCACAGAATGCACCTCACACCACGACATGGGAGATATCCCATGCAGGTTGCAACATGCTGTTAGGTTGTTGTGAGGCGTGTTCTGTGAGGAACAAATCTGGACTCCTATACATTCTTGTCTTATCTGTAAATGTAGTATCTGAAGGTGGACCTTAGATTAATTTTATTAATTAATTATTATGGTATCAATTCTCCAGTGTCGTAGGGATGGACCTAATATTCAAAAAGACAAAAAAAAGAATTCAAAATAAGAAAATTTATATCTACATAGATGGTTGAATGAGATCCATGAACATTAACGCATGAAAGGAAGTGCTTTTAAACCCTGCCTAGAGCTTGAACCATTTTCCCTTCTGGGTCAATAGGTCAATCCAATATTGCCATCAACATAAAAAATAAAAATAAAATAAAATAAATAATTTTTTTTGATAGATCAAGAAAAGGGGCTACACAGAATGGGGGATAGCACGTCCCCAGAAATCAAAACAGCTAATGACACTTACAAATCTAGGAATGACAGAATTAGTTACAACATAGGAATGAGAAAAATTAGCTAACCAATCTACCACAATGTTGCCTTCTCTAAAAGTACATATGACAATACTCCACTTTGCCCTCTAGCCTCTCAAACATCAACCTGCAATCCTCAACGATCGATTTCAATCTCGACGATGGTTCAATTTGTATCTTTAGATAGTCAATCACAAGTTTTGAATCACCCTCAATAGTGATGTTATTTCTTGAAAAGTTGAGGGTCATATTGTGGGCTTTCCATGCAACCAAAGCTTCAGCCACATTAATAGTGGTAACACCAATTATGTAGAATTTAAGGTCAAGAACTTGACCTACATAATTTCTAGCTATGCAAGCAATGGTACAAGTACGCTTGATCCCATTTTAGGGCTTTCCCATCTGATAGGGATAATAGATATACCCTCGAAGTCATTCGCATCAAGCTCCATACAAGATTGGATTTCCATAAATGTATGCCAAGCTCTATCAATTATAATAGGAGGGGGAAAACACAGTCGTTTCGGTTTTTCCATATCTACCATAATAGCAAAATAAACTTTTTCTTCCAAAAGGGGACAATACACCTAACAAAGGTGTCATCAGAATCTTCCTCTTCACCACAAACACTACAAGAACCATCAATATGAAACCCTTTTGAAATCAAATTCTTCTTTGAGGAGAGCTTATTATTAAGAAGAAGGTACATGAAGGCAAAGATTTAATAATTTTCTTAGTTCCATCTGAATCTACTCTAGTTTCCATCAAAAAACAAATGTCAAGGTTATGAGCCTTAGATAGCTCACAAACTTGACCTCTCAAAAGGGTCTGTCTACCCCTCTAACATTCCATATTAGGATCTTCATGAGTAATTTTCAGAATTTTCAGACCCATATTGTCTCTAGCATCGGAATCATCTTGCACCTCATTCTTTTTAACCTCTGAATTCTGTAAATTCACAGTACTATTGAAATTAATCCCTTCATCTTGCATGTAATGACCCTCCCATTCCTCCTCCATGCTATCATCGCCATCCAAACCCTCTCCATCAAAATCATCTTCTCCTCCTTCAAATTCATTATCCTCATTGAAATTATCAGAAAAAACATTCATGCACACATGTTTTGAAAAATAGCTTTTTCTCTTATTAAAACCAGTTTTTAACTTATCTCACATTGGAAAATTATAAGAATTATTTTGGGTTTTTTAATAGGAGCTTATTTACACTCCTTAGATATAAAGAGGAGATTACGGAGACTTGTTATTGTGCAACGCGTGCGCACGTATGTGGCGCAATGAGGTGTTTTAGAGACGCATTTTGCTCGCACTTTGCTCCATGATTCTTTAAAATTATTTAAGGAGCGTGAATCAAGCATTTGCCCATACGCCTCAGAGCTTCTCCTCGAAATTTCAGTGACCCCATTTCCCAACAGTCTCTACCTTTCAGACCATTGCCTTCAGTCATTTTATTCTCACTTGAAACACTTTTTTGAACCCACACTCACTTTGGGTTTGGTGGTTGGAATGGCTCAATGGTCATGTATTGTCTAGGGTTAATAAATCTGGATCTTGTGTTTCTCCTGGCACGGTCTTGCCTTTGATTTTTTGCTCGATAACAATTTTGGTATTTGTTGTTCCATGCAAGTTATGTCAGCACCTGTCATGCCTCCTTTAGATTTTATTACCAGATATTTCCTTGTTTCTCCATTACGCTTGCGCTGAACCATATGGTGGGTCAGTTGCTACGCTAATTAGCTGGGTAGTCTCAGCCGAGATGCGGATTCGAGTCCTGTTCCCTACTACCATTTACCTTAAGTCTGTTTGGTTTGAAGGAATAAATAGGGAAAGGAAGGGAAAGGTAAGAAAATCTATACAAGCTTTTGTAAAAATTTTTCTATCTTTCCTTACATTTTCCTTCAAACCAAATATAGCCTTAAAAGAGTTATTAGTGTGCTGCATTAAAATATAGCCTTAAGAAGAAGTAGAGAATTGCTTTTTTCTATTTTTATTGGAGTTTGTGCTTTTGAGGATGAGTCCTCTTTCTTTCTTTTGATAGCAACACCATTCTTTCTCTCTCTCTCTCAAATTGTGTCATCATCAACTTCAAAGAGATCTTACACATGTGAACCATGACAATAGCTAGTGAAGAACATTACAACATTTATCTTATTTGAATATATCGAAATGTTCATTGTCTTGTTCTCTGATGCAGGAAATTCTTCAACAATGCAAACATCGAATAGTACTCTTTGATAACAAGACTAAGGATCAAAATAAACGGGATTTGCAAGTGTGCAAATTGATCTCCCTTGTGAACAAGGTCGTTAGTGATAATGGTGGACAGCCATATACAAATGAGCTTCATACTAAATTGCAGGTAAAGATATTAGGGCTGTGTTTGGTACTATTGGCTTTTCAACCTTCAATGTTTTAAATTGAAACACCATTTATACTTGAAACACAAACACTACCACTATAAATTTGAGTACTGTTTGGTGATAACTGTTTGTTCTTGCATTCTTGCATGTCAGCACCACATTAGTCATCGTGTTGAGACATTGCCTTTTAGTGCAGGGAGATGTCAAATTGATGTTTATTGAAAAATCCATAATCCATTGCACGGATTTCCATATAAAGTGGTTGTTTTGACTGAAAACAGTCTCAAACCGAACAGAAAATTGACCATTAAACTCAAAACATCCATGTGACGCTGATTTGGCAATCTTTATGCTTGAAATGGAAATGCTACCAAACAGCCCCCAGATCTCCCTAGTTTGTGAAATTGATTATCATTCAATCATGCATGAAAATTGTATAATGCAAGCAATGTTTGTTTGACAGAGAGAAATGCAATGGCAACGTATGCAACTGGAAGAAGCCAAGTCGAAAGGGTTAAATGAAAGGGAGATATTAATGATGCAAGAGAAGATGCAGAAGGCATATGATGAACAACTCAAACAAGTAACGCAAATGGTAAAATTCGATCCTTAAGTGTTCATTGATTTGCAATTACTTGGATCATTGCTGGAAATTAAGTAAAGATATAGGGGCGTCAACTGGACTGGATCTGGTGCAATTCGATGGGTCCAATTAAGATGATTTCATTACAGATGAATTAGGTTCAATCCAATCCAATAAATAATTTAGACCATTTTGGATCAGCCTAATTTAATGTTTGGATTATTCAATCTGTTCAAATTGGGTTTAATTTAGATTAGTTCCAACTCAAACCTGGTATATTGATACATGAATTATTATCTTTTATTTTTTTCTTCAATGGACCGGATGTTGGTTCAATCTGATCCAATTCAATATAATTAATTCTAATATGGATGGATTAAGTCCAATTCAATCCAATATTAAGTATTTTGAACCATTAAGTCTGGATTGCTTCAATTCAATATATCTTATTGGTCCGTCCAATCTGTCTAAATTGATTTTGATTTGGATGGATGTAACCCAAAACCAGTCCAACGAAGGATTACAAATACAAATACAAATACGTAGAGTGCAAATCCTTGTATTCTGTATCATTTTGTGTATGTATTTGTACTCCTTCCAAACTGAGCCTGGTAAAATTAATTAGCCGGGCAGTTAGTCTGTTCAAACCAAGGTTGTTTAACTACAACGACTGGGACCCGGAAATAGGAGTGCAGCTTGGGCCGTCTTGGGTTGTGCTTTTATCAAAATTTGAATGAACCAATTCTGAAGGGCCTAGCCTGAGTTAGAGTAAAATGGTAACCCGGAACAATCCGAGTTGCACTACCCCTACCCAGAAAAGTCATTGGACCAGGTCCCTAATCCAAATCATACAACACTGTTTTTATCTTTATTATTAATTACCCAACCCACATTTGCACTGAAACAACTGAACCAAAGCCTTTGATTTGGAGACCGGATCTGCTCCTCACACATTGCGCCTCACACCGCCCTCACAGGTACATCCCACGCACCATGCATACGGGGAGATGTTCCTAATGCACCGTGAGATCTGCATGTAAAGTCGTTATGGGGCGCCCTGTGTAAGGAACAGATCCCAATAATTCTTTGATTTGTTGTCATGGCCCCACCTTAAATTATATGAAATGACATCTTGATGTTTTTATATTGCATGCAGGTTGAGTCGAGGTTCACGACTACAATTTCTTATCTTCAAGAACAACGGGAACGAGAAAGAATTGCACTATCCAATGCATTACAAGAAGCACGAATGGATCGAGAAAAATCAGCAGTGGAAATGACAAGAATTGTCCAGGAGTTATGTGACCTAAAGCGACAGAATGAAGAATTTCAACGGAAATTAAGACCGGGAAGGGTAGGGGGAGGTGGATGTGAAAAATGTCCGATATTATGACAAAATGTTAAATTCATTTCATTTGGGGCCCATAATTAGCATATAAGGCATGCGAGTTGAAATATTATAATGTATCTTATGGTACTGTATTGTGTAGTATTATCGGTTTATAAATCGAGCAATATATATGCTAAATATTATAATTTAGATACATCTGGCAAGTTCAAATAACGTAACATAATTTTTGTAATTTTCCTTAATCTTTTTTCTTTATTCTATCTCCAACTTTTCTAGCTTCAACAAGATTATATTATGTCTTTTCTTTCATTATTCCCACCACACTTTCATTGTTCCAACAAACTTTCAATATCAGATTTGAAACTAATAGCTTTATTTTGGATCCTTTCAAAAAATTTCCATTTTCTTCTATTTTGGGCAAAGAAAACTATGATTATTGGAGCACATAAATAAAAACCTTTTTCATCTCCAAAGAGATTTGGGAGTTAATAGAAGAAGGATATGAAGAGCCACAAATCTGTGAACAACTGCACATGGGGCTAAAGACAAGGAGTACAAAGAAAATAACAAGGATGATGCTAGAGATTTATATCATGTTCAACAAGCAATAAGAAAAATAGTCTTCCCAAGAACCATGACTGTCAAGAGTTCAAAGGAAGCATAGGATATTCTCAAGAAGGAATTTCAAGGCACTGAAAAGGTAAAACCCATAAAACTTCAAACTCTTTGGAGAGATTCTAGTAATCTTATGATAAAAGAAAATGAATCTATTCAAGAAAGTTTTCTTTTCTCTAGAGTTGTCGGTATTGTAAATCAAATTAGGACATATGAAGATGTTATTTCAGATAAATAAACTGTAAAAAAGGTTTAGAGGAGTTTACTAATTCTTCTTTGGAGCAAGCTTATCAGTCCAAATTCACCATTGGAAGAAAGAAAAAGAATGATGGTGAAAAAGAAACTCCAAAAGAAGGGTCATCTCAATGTAGAAGAAGAGGATATCAAAATAATGGAAGACGATGTAGAGGAGGTAAATCATATAGAAGAGGAAAGAGGTAAAAAGCAAAATAATGGTTCTTTTATTTGCAAGAAGGATAACAATTCACTTCAAGATTGCTATTTCAAATGTAAAAAAAAATACAAAAATTATGTTCATGCCCCAAAAGATTGCAGGTTTAAAGAGAAAAAACAGGCCCACCATACTAAAAATGATGATCTAGAAAACCATTTATTTTACTCTTGTATGATGAATAATCAGCAAGAGTCAAGAAAAGTTTGGTATTTATATAATGGTTGTAGTAACCACATTGTAGGAAATAAAGAATGTTTTCTAGAGTTAAATGAACATGTTAATTCTCAAGTAAAGCTTGGAAATGACAAACTCCAAAATGTTGAAGGAAAGGGTGTTGTTGTTGGAAGTGTTAGAAATCAGATTTTACATGCCTGGACTAAGTTTAATGACAGGCCAAATTTTCAAAAGTTTTTTAACCTAACTCGGGAATCGATTTTCTGGTAATTTTAAAATCTAAAATTTTGGGATCGATGTTAAATTAAACCGAACAAGATTTGAAACCTAAATCAAAATTTATTGTACCTGATACAGAGACCACAAAAATGTAACTCCCAAGGTGGTAGTTCACACCCAATATCAGTCCTTAAACCAGCCTCCCATCGAAAATGGCGTAGTGTGTATGTGAAGTGGATTCAGCAACACCATTTCAACAACATCTGGTCTCCAACTTGCTTGGATTGAAGGGGGTATGTGAACTTGATATACCCTGATTTTTTATTGAAAAAACACAATGGAATAATAAAAATCATTCCTTATGAAGGCTAGGTCGAATTAGGGTTTCTGGGATACAAAGGAGAAGAGAAGATAGCAAGAGAATATAGAGAATTAGTTAAATTGGACTCTCCCATCTTTCTCCTTTATATATATATCACTCTCCTATCTAATTAGGAGTTGATCTAAATCAAATTTGGATAAGGACTCCATGTTTAATTGATAAGCATTGTCCTCATAAGAGGATATGTGCTTCATACCCAGATCCATGCCCATTTTAAGTTGTTATTAATCACTTAACTAATCCTATTACTAATGGGCCCTAGGCCTATTTCTCTAATGGTTCACACCCCAAGGTGTTGTATGGCCACTTTGGGCATGAATGTTGTATGGCATTGGACCCACAAAGGTCTCAAAAAAGTACATAAGGGTCCTACCCTACCTCTTGAAGAGATTTGGCCAAATTCACTAATTAGGGCTCAGTTTGGGCCCAACATTTACACTTAAATGATCCTTGTGTTCAACCACCCTATGAAGACCCAAGGATAATAGACTTATGTAAGATAAAGCTCATCAATTAATCAATCCTGTAATGGTCTTTTACACCTAACCTCTCGGCCAATAATCAACAAAACACTGTCCACAGGGAAGGACCTCTTCCCTGACTACAAAATACAGTGTCACACTTTCTACTCAGATGGATCCTAGGATTAAAACCTTTTGCATACCTTTTTCATAAAATAGTAATATAACATATAAAAATATTTTGCAAATCATATTTCAAATACACTTAAAATGCATTGCCGACAGTTTAGGTTTCCATCAGAGAGAGTGCAAAACTTAATATTCACTTTATCTGACAAAGGGGTTTGTCCTATCACTATGATCACCTACTCAAGTAATTTCCTAAACTACCCCAACATGCCTAGGTATTTGACCATTGATGGATCTCACTAGTTGGCACATAAAAGGCAACTTAGACCAATACCTAGTGAAGTATCATAATCAAATCTGGGGTTATGTGCAACTTTTCAGTTTTGCCTATCTATCTCTAAGGTCTAAAGCATAACTGGAAGTTGGATTGGGTTCAGTATTTCTTCTAAACACCCACTAGTTGTACTTGGGGTCTAACCCTAACAACTAAGACAAGCTACTCCACCAGCTCGGCAACACATCAATGTTAATCATGTCAGGATAAACTCTCCAAGTTTACTCAATGGCTGAAAACATTCTAAACTAACACAAGTCTCATAAGTGTCTAATTTAAAGACTAATTCACAAAAATATACCAATTAAAACATAAATAATGTACTTTATTCATTCACTAATAATGGTTTATGTACATCAATCCAATTGAAGCCAAGGGCATACACTGTCTAACAATTGCCACTTGCACTTAGGTTCAATCAAGTATTAGCCACAGTTCCATACTATCCATGTGTCCTTCAAATACTTCCTATGTTAGTGTCTTAGTTAATAGGTCTTGTTAATGCTACCTTCTAAATCTGGATGTCTCCTCTACCAACAATATCCGGTAGAATGTGATATTTCCTCTCGATGTGCTTTGACTTCGAGTGGGCTCTCGGCTCCTCAGCTTAAGTATTGGCTTCAGTGTAATTACACAACAGTGGAATGGGTGATGTGTTAGATGGTGTGATTGTTAATTCTTTGACAAATTTTCTCATCCATACTACTTCCTTGACAGCCTCACTATAGAATCGAAACCCGAAGATGTAAGAAATTTCACCAAGATCTTTAGTACAAATCTACTGAATTAAAAAATATAAAAGAAAAGAGTGTTTCCTTGAAGAGAAAAGGAAGAGAGAGAGAAGAAGAGAAGTATTCTAAAATAATCACAAAAAAATGTCCAAACTTCAACACTCCCCCTCAAGTTGGGAGTAGATGTCACACATTCCCAACTTGCGTAGATCATGTTCAAGTTTGTTCTTTGCAAATCCTTTAGTGAGAACATCAACCAACTATGACTCTAAAGAGACATAAGGCAAGCAAACTTCTCTATTGGTTACCCTCTCCCTTATGAAGTGCCTATCAACTTCAATATGTTTTGTTCTATCATGTTGGATTTATGGACAATGTTGATTACAGCCTGATTATCACAATACAACATCATAGGCTCCTCTACTTTCACCCCAATCTCGCTCAATAGAGATCTAACCCAAAGTAGTTCTAAGACACCATGGGCCATGGATCCATACTCAGCCCCTGCACTTGACCTAGCCACAACCGATTGCTTCTTGCTTTTCCAAGAGATCAAGTTTCCACCTACGAAGGTGCATACTCCTGATGTAGATATCCTGTCACCGAAACACCCTACCCAGTTTGCATCAATATAGGATTCCAGTTTTAGATTTTCATAGTTTGAAAAAAAAATGCCTATGTCAGGGTGCTTCTTCAGGTATGCAAGTATACTCTTAATAGCTTCCCAATGATGAACCCGAGTTGCATGCATATACTGGCTCACAACACTAACGGCAAATGAAATATTTGGTCATGTCATACACAAATACAACAGTCAGCCTACAATTCTCTGATATCTCCCCACATATTTTACCAACTCTCCATCCACAACATTAATTCTATGGTTTGGATCAATAGGAGTGTCAGCTAGTTTTGTTCCTAATTTCCCAGTTTCCCGTAGTAGGTCAAGAATATACTTTCTCTGAGAAATGAAAATCTCATGTTTGGATCTTGCAACCTCAATCCCTATGAAGTATTTGAATTCACAAGATCTTTGATCTCAAATTCTTGTTGCAATAGCCTTTTGAGAGCATTAATCTCTTACATATCATTTCCTGTAACTACTATATCATCCAAATATACAATCAAAATTGACACTAGAGTGTTTCTCCTCTTCACAAAGAGAGTGTGAACAGACTAGGTTTGTATGTACCCAAAACGAATAAGTGCCCCTCTGAACCTGTCAAACCAAGCCCTAGGTGATTGTTTCAAGCCATATAATGATTTTCTGAGTTTGCACACCTTTCCTCTACCAATATTTTCATAATAGCCTACTAGAATGTCCATATATACCTCATCTTGCAAATCAGTAGATTTTCATTTAGTGAGAACATCTGTTGGTGCTGGTCAGATAAAGAAACTAATGGAGGTGCTGCTAATGGGGATACTGATGGAGACACAAAGGAAACAGGAAAAGGAACAGACTATAAGTTCTCCCCAAAACTCTCCCCCTGAGGAGAGTCACTTGAGAAGTAGAAGGTAGATTCAAAAAGGTAAAATCCATAGTGACAAATCTACTCCTCGA